AAAAATAAAATTCGATGACCAAATATATTTGGGAAATTCTGAGTGTTTATTTTTCCATTTTTGGAGAATGTTAACATTTATTAATATATTAAGGACTTTGAGGTGCACTGTAGGAAAGAAGTCTGCTGACCTTGTTCACCCCAATGAATCTTCATCTTTTACTTGGAACACAATCTGAGAACACCTGCCCAAGAAATACGGTTAGAAATAGGAAGCGTTGTTTTAACTCCTCCACCAGAATTAATCCAGATCTGCTACTGTTCCCATCATCCTCTTAATCATCATTGTCATCACTGCAAAATAGTATTCAATGATCTTGGTTCATCACCATGGACAGAGAATTACATGCCAAGTCCTGTATAACTCAAGTTTACAATTTAAGTCTGTCCGTTCAATCTTAGACACATGTGTACAAAGCATCCAGACAACAGCTAAAGCATTAAGCCAAGATATGGCACATTTCAGCTTAGATCATGGAGTTTATGTGTAGTTAGGGATAGAGAGATGTGATTCTCAAACTGAATCTCAGGACAAGGCCATTATCTAGCTATAAGCTGTCTTCGGGGAAGTTACCAAAAACTGTTTAAATAATGGTAAGATGGCTTGGGAAGTCAGGAGGCAGACTGTCTTGGGCACAAAATGCTGCATTAGTTAAAGAAAATGGTAGAAGAAACAGAAACATCAGTGAGGGACCCTTCCCACAATGAGGACTTTGGGAAGTGGGGGTAGTATGGAGTTGAACTGAAGATAGCTGTGTAAGAAAATGAAACAGGGCTCAAACAAGATGGGCCAGCCCCAGAAGGGCTCTACTCCTGATCATTTGCAGGCTTGTCTCATTAATTACATCTGATACACACATAAAAGTTCGCTTCCTTACCAGAAGTTTACAGCCTGGCACGCCTGAACTGATCAGCGTTGTTTGTGAGAGTAAAAGCGTTGTGTTTTGTAAGTGAAGAGATGACCAGCATATCATCCTTGTATACTTAGGAGTATGCATTAACATTTTATTTGTGACAATGAAATAAGTGTTGAGATTTTTTAAAAAGTACATTGAATCAGCTTGCATTGCTTTTCCTTCCAGTTAACTGTTGAAAATATGAAATAGGCATTTAATATACAGGCTACTCTGGAGTGGTGATTTTTCCACTCTAAAAGGTTACTAGTTCCCACTGAGTTTATAGTTTGAGAAACACAGTGTTAGCAGTGAACTTCAGCAAAATGCAGCTTTCTGACAATCTCCCCTTTCTGTCCTGTTTAGAATCACATTTTGATTCCATGTGACTTGTGTACTTATATACCTGAGCTGCTGCTTTTGAAATTGAATGTGTGAACTAAAACATCTGAGGCTGTAACTAACTCTTTCCACTTCTGACTCTTCCAGGTATCACTGCTATCCCTGGGGCACCAAGAATCACCCAACAAACAGATGAAAATGCTGCATTTTAAATTGATGTGGTTTTCCCAGTCAAGTTCAAGTTCTGGACGTGAGGCACTACTGCAAGATGCCCAGGGATGGGGAGCTGCTAGAGGAGTGTGGAAGAGAGAAGACCAGCCTGCCTCGGTGGCAGTACGGTCCCTTCCTAGAGGCTCATCCCGGGGCTGTGTTAGATGCAGGATGATGGAGCTGTCAGCGTGCTCCTGGGGGAAGTTGCTGCAAAATTCATCTGTGAGAAGGAAACCCACTCCTCGCCGAACTGTTCTCCAAGTTCAAAACAAAACAAAAAAAAAAACTTGTCCTATTTTTCAAAGGAATATTTTATATTTTTAGAATTGCTGAAACTATTTATGTAAAGGCGTTTAGACTTCCATGTATAAAAAATAGTTTTAGATAAAATTATAGGACCCAGAACAGTTAATATATTGGGTGATTCACTGAGCCCTCCATTTTTCTGCTCTTAAAAGAAATTCAGACTATATGACTTTGTAGCTTTTTGTTTGCTTTAATGAAGCGATTGGTTTTCTCTTAACCACTCAGGTGCTAGTGGTCTTGAACTCTAAGACAGCGTAGACAGTATTTGCATCCTTGCACAGCCTCTGAGAACAATTGTCAGATTTACGTTGGACCAATAGATGATACTGACCTATAGTATGTGTATACGTGTATACATATTTAAGGGGAGGAAGGAGGTTTCCATTAGGCTAATGCTTTGCTGCTAATCAAACTCATAGTGTTTTTAGAGCACTTTCAAGAGTCACAGTCTATGAAAGAGATGCGGTATTCTTTATCCTGAGTCCCTTGTAACTAACATTGCCTACATTGGTGTTAAGTTTTTCTTGTTTAAGAACTTTAAATGAAAATAAGTTATATAATAAAAATATAAATTTCTTCTTTATTCACTGAGACGTCTCTAGAAAAGAGAACTCGTAATGCCAAAACAGTGCACATTCCTGTGTAGGGTCAATTTAAGATGAAAATTCTCTAGATTCTTGTTGGGCTAAAATCTCTCTAATTGGCTTCTTATAACTGGGGTAATATCAAGAAATTATTGTGAAGTCAGACTACTTCTAGCTATTTTAAGAACATTTTAATTCTATGTAAGTCATCTGAAAGCTGAAATTATGCTTTTTATTTACTTCTCACTAAATTCTGTATTTACACTGATGTACGATGATCAAGTAGTTTTGTTATAGTATGATCAAATAGAACATTGTTCAATATGTTTACAGTGCTTGAAACACAACATTTTGTATAGGATGGGAAAATCTCAGTGTGAATTCATACTATTTTTACAATGAGTATGTTTAATACC